TCTAAATCCTCCCTAACACGGCATCCCTCCACAAGGATCCTGTCCCCTCTCAGTTGCTCTCTACCAGGAAATCTCCACATTTGCCCTTCCTGTCCTGGGGTCTTATGGTAACGGGTGTGCATGGCATGTCTTCAGTCGGATTCAAACGCCTTCCCATCTCCCAGTGCCTGGTGCAGAGCTGTCTCCTAGGAGTCCCTTGAAAAACGCTTGTTCAATAAACGCATATAAGCACCAAGCAGAAAGGGCTCAGGCATTTTATCAAAATGGTTGTTTACATTTCTGCCTTGCTTGACCACTGCTGATCATGTCAGGGATGAAAGCAAGACGCAGACAACAGGGCATTCCACAGGCTCCCTCCCTCGGGGGTGTGGAAAACAAAGCAATAGGCACACCCAGGGTGTTCCTATCCATTTGCTGATCATTAATCTTCTGCATCATCATTAGCATCACTGGAGGCCGCTTGTGTGGTGACCCTGGTGATACAGAAATGACGCAGGTACAGACAGCACCCTCCTGGAGGAGGCAGTCGCTCAGGTCTTTAACAGTAGGAATTCTGACTCTTTTTGAGAAAGATTTTAAATTCTGGCAAAGATACTATTTAATTAATCTGAGTCAGCATTCTTATTGTCTTTTAAATCTTGTTTCCATCCCCAAAAGCCTTTGAATTGAGGTTGGCACGTGTTCATAAAAATGTACAAATTAGAATTCAGGCCACTTTGCTGCCTTACACCAGAAAGGGTTATTTTATGGATTAACCATTTCAGTAAAGGAGGGAAATGATGGATTTGCCAGTGGTGTGTTTCATTTCTCCTTTCTGAAACAGAATCTGAACAAATGGTGAATAGTCAGTAGTGTGACTCATCAGATTAGTCTGACAAAAGAATTACTAAGACAGGCTGGATACAAAAGATTCCAACTATTTATGAGAAAAGATTATATCAGCAATTTATCCTTGAAACATTTTCTGAAATAATTACAGCATATTTTAACAGGAAATATGGATAAGCCAGAAAAGTTTTGCTAAAGAAAACTGAAACTTGAGTCTCTTTTTAATCTTCATGCTGACATGGTCCTTAATTAGAATATCACAGTTGGGCCAGATCATACAAAGGGATGTCATCATAGGAAAAAATGTAATTATGTCAACCATCTCAAAATTTCCAGTTATCAAAACTATCACTTTTGATAGGTGGGGCTTCACGGACTAGTGAGCAGGACCGTCAATTTTCTGCCGAAGAAGTGTCGTGAGGCTCTACATAAATTGATTTGCCAATAAAGGAATGGATGTTTTTCAGTTGAGAAATGCCTTGTGACTGTCCCCACTTCTGCCTCCATGTATACTCTCTGTATAAGCCCTCAGGTCCATTCCTTTCATAATTGTAAATTACCTGCTTATGGGATTTCAGAGCTGGAAGGGACTTTCCTGATCCCTTAGCGAATTCCCCATGAATCCCCCAGGACTTAAAGACTGAATGGACACCCTGCCCAACGTGGAAGGTGGGCTCAGCCCTAACCTCTGCGGAGCCCAGTATCCGAGCAGCAGGTGGTGTTTCCGAGCTTTTGCTTGTGGTACTGGCAACCTTTTTTCCTGAAATTGCTTCAAGACCTTTTATCCTTTTGCTGTTTTTTCCAAGTCCTGCATATTTCCATGGCAGAATTATTTTTTACAGAGAAATATGTTCTGCCACCCACGGCAAAGGTGCACATTTGTTACGGGACTGTGTTGGTAAGACTGCAGGCAGCCAGGTCTTGCACAGGGCACCTTTTCATTTCCCTGGGCCAAGCATTGCTGGAAACAGGGAAAGGGTAATTGGGTTTCGAGTGGAAAGCAGTGTTTAAATGCAAGACAGGTAGGGGTCAAATTCATTGACCTCCAGGGCTCTCTGCCTTCCAGCAAGCAGTGTGACACTGCAGCATGGGGACATTGGCAGCTGAGGTGGCCCCTTGTGTTCTTCAGCCTCCAGGACATCCATAGTCATGTGGCATTTTAATATTTCTTTATTTGAATCTCTTTTAACCTACTCAATCCCAAGATGCTCCAGGCATCCCATGGGGAGGACAGAGAAGGTTGGTAGAGATAGTGGGGTGGGCACTCACAGGAGAGTTCCTAAACTCTAGGATGCAGGCCCAGGTACCAGAGCCAGGCTCTGACCCGGCCTCAGGGACTCTGACCTGGAGCTAATGTTTCCCTTCTGCTGGGACTGTCGATTGCAGGCACTGAAGAAGGACTTGTTTGCAGGTTTCTGTGGTGAGGGCAAGAAATGGACTTAAATCAATAATGACTTTGAAATTTGGAAACTCCCTTTGGCTCACTTTGGGTCCTATTTTTGAGATGCTGTGGCCCTCCCATGTACACTACTATAGGAACAGCTGATTCCTCCTGCCCAAGGACTGGGTTCTGAATGCTCTTCTACCAAAGAAACATCTGTTCTTAGAAAAGCATTTGACATTTGAAGATTGAATCACGGGCTGACCAAAAGCTGAGAAATCAACTGGTTCAATCTGCCCTGGGTCCACCCTCCCCTTTCCTTTTGGTGAACAGGAACCCTGAAGGAAGTTACATCAACAACTGTCAGCCACCAGGGCAGAATGAGACAGAACCAGTCCTCTGAGAGCCGGTCCAGTTTCTATCCTTCTAGTACATCAGCGTTTGTTATTCAGGTAGGATTACAGAAGCCCCTTAAGTGACGAACTAGATTAACCACAGCTGCACTTTCCTTTCCATGACGTAAGTGACACCCACACAAGGCAGGATGCCACCGACTAACAGGCTCCTCTCTTGGTGACCTGGGACCTCTGTTCTTTCTCGAGCTGCATGCTAACCAAGAGGATGTCACACTTGTTCCTGGACCTGTTTATGCCATTCATACTCATTATGGAAATGATTTAATTATTGAATGTTGTGTAAACTAATGAGGCAAGAAAGAATTGTTATTTCTGTGTGTTAGATGCTTTGGAAAGACAGGGTGCTACAAAACATTCAGTGTGAAAAAGTCATGTATGCATTCAGAAGAGTTCTGAAATCAGATTCTATCCCAAGACTCCTCCACTTTAGAAGAAGGAAGGCTGGTGCGGTGCATGGAGAAAAATTTGGAATGCTAGGGGGGTGCCTGTGTTCAAAGAAAACATCTGGGCCTCACCTCAAAAGATTGGCATAAGTTTAAATCGTCTACATACAAGATTTTAGCTTATGTTATTCAAATTAAAATAATATGTTTAAATTAGGTACATATCATTTTTTATGATTTGCCCATTGACAGGTTTTTCAATGAATGGACCACAAGTGAACTTTCACTCCCTTTATCACCTGTTCCTACAGACCTCATGCAACTTGTGCCCAGCATCAAGAGCCACTGCAGAATCACTGTTAGACTTCAATTATTTCTTATATAAAGTGATAAGATTTTTGGGAAACAGTTTGATGAGTTGTATATGTTCAACTTCATAGTAATGGTGAGACCTTTATTTGAAAAGATCTTTAGTTGGAAGACACATGAAATAAAGACTCGGGGGGACAG